CGCCAGGTCCATGCGGGCAGGGAACCCAACAGGGGTGAGGCGGACACCTGGTGGGGCTCAACTATCCCCGACCCCCAGAGCCAGGGAGAGAAAGGGGCGCACTCCAGGCGGCTCAGCTGCTGGCAGGCAGGTGGAGCAGGGCTGCTGGGGAGGGGAGAGGAGGGGGATGAGAGAGGGAGATGGGGAAGCTGCAAATAGGGAATGGATGCTAGCATCTTCCCTCCCGGATGCCTTAGCAGAAGTTGCCAAACTCCAAGGAGAAGAGCTAAGTTTCCCAGGACAGGTGTGTGCAAGTCCAGTGCTGGGTGGGACCCTTCTCTGCCTGGCTGAGCCACAGACCACAGCAGAGCCCCCTGGGCCTGTACATGGAGCTGGGAGACTCTTTCTGCCCTGATGGCTAGCTATGGAAGTGCCCATGGCCCTTGACTTGCTCTGTCTCCTAAACTGATGAATCTGAATCTCCTCACCACACAATACAAATAATCCTCATCCTATTCCATGCTTATTATTTGAGTATCTTCTAAGAAAGGAGCAAGAGCTGGGGGAAAGACGGGTCCCAAAAAGTATTAGGCTGATTTCCGACTTTCTATGGCACCATGACCATAACACGATGTGGAACGTGATGGCTTTGGGAGGGGACCTGGCAACAGCATTCTCAGAGGCCAGACTATCACTTTGGGGCTCAGATTAATTTCTTTCCCTTTTTACATGGGGGACACAGGCTTCCCTTGGGCCTGCCAGGAGGTATTTTTGCTGCTCCTTCTATCAGAAGCCACCTCTTATTTCATATGGTAATCCCGTGGTTGTAGCATCACTTAGTGGCTGCATCATAATTTAATGGCAACGATGCATTTGCGTTGCTGTATTCCTTCTCAAATCCTTTCATTAAGTCAGACGAGTCACTGAATAATTGTTACGATGAAGTGGAAATGAAACATCCGTTTAAACTTTTATCATTTAGGACTTCCCTTGCTGGATGACTCCACGACAAATAAATTCTGCCCATCACCCCTTGTAAAATGGTAGCCCACATACAGCTGTAGGTCTCAAGTTTTTAATTAGAGGATCGTACCTCCGGAAGAATACTTGTCACTAGCCGTGCCATATACGTTTTATATGTTTATTATAGGGAAAGCATCTCAGGCCTTTCCAGAAAGCAGATACTAATACAGGCGATGGGGCAGGGCACACAGCCACAGCTCCTGATAGGAGTCATGCTGCTGAGACATGGTGCTCAGACAGCAGCCGAACCGCTAATTTGGGATATTAATGATACCCATCTTTCCTTTAGAGTTGAGTGGCCCTGAGTTTTCTGTACACACACTGCATCGAATCCTCTAAATTCTGAGATGCATTTGTCCATTATCACCCACCAGACTGGAAAGGCTTTCTTGGTGCTTTTACCCAGTGGCCCGTGAGGTCCGAAATGTTGGTGACTGCTGCTTTAACCTGTGCAAAGTTGAGAATGCAAAGTTGTGCTTAAGGTTTTCTTCCACTACAGAGTCTGCATCCTGACCATTGGGCGGGGGCGAGAGGGGGGGACATGATAGCGGTGGGGTTGGGTCTGGCTGCCATCCAAGTCACAGGACTCCTGCCACTTGCTTACAGGGGTCTCTTTTGACATTCTCTACTCATGCACCTGCCGGCTCTAGTGTTTCTCAGGAGAGGCAAATGGGGCAGCTGCTGAATACCAAGTCAGCTCATAAAGGATTGTTTGAGATGGAAAGATTTATTGGGAAAGAGACCAAAGATGGACAGAGCACGAGATTCCAGGTGGGGCGAGAAGAGCCGGGCAGGAAAAGATGAGAGGCAGAGACCGGTTATAAGAGGCATTGACTAGACCAGTGATGGCGAACCTCTGATACGCGTGTCAGAGGTGACACGCACTCATTTTTTTGTTGTTGATTTTTTTTTGTTAAGAACAGTCCTATATCTCTCCTCTCTGGTAAGTTGGTTTCCTAGTTCAACATTTTCGAGTGAACATATGGGCTGAACTCAAGGGCTAGTAAATTAGAGAAATAACTGCAGAGGTCTCGTCTTTATCTGAATCTATGTATTCTACAGTTTTGTGGGGGAGATTGTGTGCCTTTTGAAGGCATTGTGAGGGACCAGTGCATTCATTTGTAGACTAGAAAGCCAAACAAATTGGAATGGAAAAGAGACAAAGGGGTGAGGTTCTCAATGAACAAAGTAGTTTATATCAGGAGTTTTTTATAAAATGCTTACCTAGTACCACAATAGGGAGGCCGCCATTAAACCCATTTGGACACATGACAACATTCGTGAAGACAAATCAGATAAGGACAAATTAAAGTCCTAAGAATCTGGCTCTGAGGTTGGATCATCTCTTCTGACCAACTCCTCAACCCTTCAGCTGTGTGGGGGGTACATTAGAACGCCCATCTCCCCTACCTCACAGGGTTAGAGGGTATCTTGACGTGTCCCAAGATTGCATTTTTAAGGTCTGGTAAGATGAGTCTCTTCTGACCAACTCCTCAACCCTTCAGTTGCGTGGGGGGTACATTAGAATGCCCATCTCCCCTACCTCACAGGGTTGGAGGGTATCTTGACATGTTCCCAAGATTGCATTTTTAAGGTCTGGTTAGATGACAGACCCTGAGACAATGTCTTGGCAAAATGGTTTATGACTTTGCACTCCCAAGGGGCGGGGGCACTTCATGCCATGCAGAGCCACGTGGGGAAGCACCAGGTGAGTGTGGACACAGAGGATGGGGAAGCGAGGCTCAGAGCCTTACTGTGCTTTCCACAGGAAGGAGCTGGGGGAGAAGGTTGATAAGCTGGAGCAAGCTTGGGACTGGCCTGTTGGAATGACTGTGGCTTCCTCGGGGCTGTAGGAATGGTCTCTAGGTGTCCAGTGCCTGGCCCTGGGGGAGATCTACTGGAAGCATATTGGTGTGGTGTGTGACAGCTGGATAAAAGACCTGGGGATACTGGTTGGTTTGCATATGAAAGAGGTGCTAAAGGCAAGTTGTTTGCTATCTGAGCATGGCAGTTTCTCCAAAATCTGCCCAACCAACTATCACAAAATGCAGAAAATAAAAAAATAAAAAAACATGGTTAATCGCAGGTGACAATTCATGAGGTACACACTTAACACAGTGGATGTTTTTAGTAATCATAAATTATGATTATATGGCATAACTCCCACTTTCCTTCGATAACAAATGGTGACATGTACAATAATATCAGTAAAACGATGTCGTTGCTCTATGTTTAAACTAGAGCTTTGATTCAAACCCATAGACATCTTGTTATTTAGGGCGATTTGTAATACAAAATGCAGAGTTGCATCCAGTGCAATCACGTTGGAAAACTTCAAGCAGAGAGGTGACAGAATCTGACTGGTACGGTTTTGAAATTTCATTTTCGTTGTTGTATAAAGAATGTATCACGGGTGTACAGACTGGAAGCAGGGAATAGAAGAGGGAATAAATGATGGTAGCAATGGTGATGGAGAAAAGTGGAGAGGCGAGGTGTGTAGTTTGAAAATACCATCGTGTTTAAGACTTCCTGAGAGTTTGGATGTGGGGTTGAGGAAAAGGAAGGAATTGAGGATGATTCCTAAATTGAATTGGTAACTGGGTGGTAGAATTTTCTGTGGTAGGGAAGACTCCAGAAGGGGTATGTTTATAGAGGCAGGGCTTGCAAGAGCAAATTCCCAGGCTGTCTGAAAGGGGTGTGTGTGTGTGTGTGTGTGTGTTATGAGAAACAGGGCGGGTCTTTCTCTGAATCTAGAGGTGACCCAACTTCAGAATTAGAAACCCCCCAAGACTCAAAAGTGGTTACTAATGAGGTTTCATTGTACCCTGGAGGGGCTGCCCAGACGAGGGTGGCGACTGAGAATTCTGGATCCAACAGAAGGATCTGCATTTATCTAATGAAATTTGTATCCACTTGTAAAAGCAATTTCAAACTGTGTGTTATTCATAAACAAGGAAAACTTACAGCTTGTGTTTATCTGAGAGAAGGCTGTACCCAGCTGTTCGGCGTGTGCACGAGGCAGAATCATAAAGTGAAAATCCTGTGTGATGCATATGTAGATGACAGAAGCCTCCCTCCCTCCCTCCCTCCATCAGCACCCAGGGGGTGAAGTGGCCCAGGGAGCACTGTGGCTTAGCCTGTGAATCCTCTCTGCGGGCCCCTCAGGACAGGGAGATGTAGTAAACTAAAGGTTTGCTAGTGAAGAGAGAAGCAAGGCTCGACTTGGCTCAGTCTTTGGGCTCCAGAAAGTTCCAAGAATGGCAGCACATGCCAGACACAATACTTGGGATGAGACTCAGGTAGTGTCCTCTTTAAAACCCCAAGCCATCCCAATGGAATAGCTGCTCACATGATCGGCGCTAGGGAAGAATGAGGGCCATCACATCTCGTTGTCTTTCTGCACTCTTGCAAACTGAGGCAAATAAAAATGGTTTTCCTAGTCTGCTGCTGGCAGGAGGCCAGACTTTGAGGCAGTTTAGTCTTGACCTGTTCCTCTTTCTGTCCCCGACCACATCGCATCCTTCCTAACACAGGACTCTACTCCGTGGGCTAGTGGAAA